GAAGGGTAGAAAGGAGGAATAGAAATGACATTCGGACGTCTCAGCTTTGATATGCAAAAAATGTTTATTAAAAACAATGTGTCGTAAATTTTGCGCATACGTGCGTGCTGGAAGGTGAAGTAAATTTTTAATTTCAGGCTTGTAGGTAATTCTTGAGCTCAATAGGTTGTACTTTCTAGTTTGATGATGGTTTTTTTTTTTTTTTTTTTTTTTTCTCTGTGCAAAATTCTGTATTGGTTAACAGTATTTTTTCTTTTTGTTTTGATAATTCAGCTTTTTTTTGGGGGCAGATTCTTAATTTATATGCATGTTGATAATACGTTATCAGGGAGGTAAAAATTATTTATTCATATTAAATGAAAATCCTGAGTTAGAAAAATTAGAGAAATCAAAAGATTAATTTTATTATATGTATATACATATTCGTCAACTAGTTATGTAATGGAAATTTTATTTCTTTAATAATTCATTTTTATTGTCATAGTTCTGGTTGGTAATATTTAAATTTCATTTTATGTGTATTAATGTTAAGTCTGTGTACAGTGTTTCTCTTTCACCTCTAACTCTTTTTTCCAGCTAGACTGTATTAGCAGCAAGTGTATACATTTTTCTATAGATTTTAATATGTTGAATGTAACTTGAAATTTATACAGTGAGTTTTGAACAGTGTTAACAGGATAGAAATTAATTTATACATAGTGTAACATTCAAATAACAAGATGACAAGATTGAATATTTTCAGGGATTTTAGGAATGAAAGCTAGTGTCGCATTAAAGATTTGCATTTATTTCTATGCATAATAATAATAGTTTCTTGTTTGGTTAAAAAGATTATATAGAAGCTTAAATATACAAGTATTAGCATTATGCATAGGTCTTGACCAGGGGTTCTCAACTTTTTTTGGGAGGGATGATCCCCATGCACTTCTCTTACCATTACTAGAGGATCATTTCTCCCACTCCTTTCGCAAATTAGAAAAGTAAATATATATGTTTCTAAATTTAGATGATTTTTTAATATGTATTTTTAAGCAACAAAAAGTATAGTGAATGTTGGTAAATACCAAAACTTGAATAAAAGAGCTTTTAATATTCATAAATTGAAACTGAATATTTAAATTCTAAATAAAAGGCTGATCACATTTTCCTTCTTTAAAACTATGAATTTCCCCCTGATTGAGAACTCTTTGTGTTAACATTTTCTTACTATTTAAATTAATATATGGCTAGAAAAATTAAAGGCTTATTTTGTTCTTCTCTCTTGTTTTATAGTGCTGTATTTTGGATGCCAATAGAAATAGAAGCATCTTAAATTCTCATCAATAGGTTGTCGTGATATTTAACTTCTGTATGATAGTTAAATAAGGAATACTTGTTTCCCTCTAGTCATGTGTCTAGTTTTTTAAATGCATGTAATCTCCATGAATTTCATTTAAAGTGGTATATAATTATGCAGTTAATGTTGATTGTGGTGATAGCACTATCTGTTGATGTTAGTTAACCCTCTGACAACTCAAGTGTTGTTTAATAAGTAATTTATAGGTTCGAAAATCTGAGCCGGCACTTTTTAAAAAAAACCAACATTTATTTTTCATGCCATTTCTTATTCTACAAAATCTTAAAAAATGCAACTATTTATCAAACAGAATACGCATCTGCGCACGTGATCCTCGTGACAGACAAATTCTTTAGGGTTGCCACATCAAGATACACAAAGAATTAACAGTAAGTAAACTGACTCGCGAACTTTAAGTAAATATATGAGATATGGGGACAGACCAACTCTCAGTCTGTCAGTCTGCTCACCAAAACCCAATTTAAAGTTTGAAATAGCAGGACATCCTCTTAATAGAGATAGCAAACAGATATCGCTAGCTGAGCAAATTTTGCTACATTTGTGTTGCACGTGGAAATTGCAGAATTAGCAGAGGGGTAAAAGCAGTCCTTCCAGTACTGAACCACAAATCTTTTGACTTTTGGGTGTGTATCATAATGACTTGCGTTTACCAGTAGCTTAGTGGTAAGATCGCTGAACACTGGTAGTTCGACCCAGGTTCAAACCTCGATGACAGTAGAACTGCATTGCAGTTTTCATGGTTTTTCCATGTTCAATGTGGATGTGGGCTAATTTCCCTTAAAAATTCCTTACGTAATGCATCATTTTTCTCAGTCTGATAGTCTTTCTTTATTTTTATTGTTTTGCTGTAATTCAGTTCTGTCTTAAAGACTGGACCAAAATTATATCCAGGTCTGAGTATATCTCTTCTGGGAGCAAAACCCTTTGTAACCTTCCACTAAGTAGCTCAGAATTAGAAGTTATATCTATGGTGTAGATTTCATTCTACTGAATGGCAAATTTCTGAACCAAATATTGTTCAGTCTGTTTGCAAGCTGAATCAATAAGCATATAGGTATGTATGGATCAATGGAGGTTGGAATCAATGGATCAATTGGGGAGAATGTTGTGGTGTGATAAAACTGTCATTTTGAGAGGTGGAATACAGAATAGATTTTATTGTACCAGTTAGTTGTACTAGTACTATGTGGTGTAGAGAGTAATCCCTTTGGCTTTAATAATCCTTGACCTTTGTTGTCTTGATTGCTTTAGTAAAAAGTGGAATAACTACCAAAAAAAAAAAACAAATGTATATATCATTTTAAACAGAAATTAGAAATTTCTGCTTTTATTTTGAGAGTAAAAGCAGTGTTTATTAAGTATATTTAATTCATTTGGCATATGTATTAATGTTAATAAATCTGAATTTCGAACATTTAAGGAAAATGAAGCCAGAGACTTAAGATTGCCATTTTAAAACAAATAAGAGGGTGGCTTGTGCAGAAAGTATGTTTTAGTTTTTTTTCTATGTAAGCTTTAGTGATGCAAATAAGTCAGAAATTTATGTTCGAGTACATTCTGTTTTATTAAAATAATATTTTAATTTGGAATTCTGTGTGATATATCTCATTAGGGAAACATTTTGACCTGTCAGTTTGTTGTTTAAAGAATTTTTATTTCAGTAATGTTGAAGTAGACTTAATGCAAAGTCTTTGCTCTTTATAAAGAATTGGAACACTGAATTTTTTTTTTTTTGGTAATCCAATTTTATTAGGTTTACTTTTTTAGATCTGGCTGGCTTTTTTAGCTGTATAACATGTTCTACATTTTGCTATCTATTTAATGGCAACTAGGTATAAAGATGAATTATTTTTTAACCCCTTAATGCATTTTCCCGTGTCTCACACGGGCGAAAGTTTCCGGCAAATTTGTACATGCCCGTGTTTCACACGGGCGCCCTTGTATCTCGCGTTATTTTATTTCTAATGCTTGTCTGAGATCCGTTCCAGTAAAAATAAATAGGCTAGATTATAATTAAACTTATTTGACATAGTGACACCACTATTAAGCATTTTTCTTGTGTAAACCCGTGGCGCATTTGATGATTAGCTATAAGTTTGCTAGGATTCTTTGCTATAAAGTAGTCGTTTGGTGTGGAAAAGGTAATATATCCATTTTTATTACGTAAATTAATAAAAGTAATCAGTTAACTGCAATTATTTACTAAGTGTTTTTGTAATTTAAAAAAAGTTATCTGATAATGAGCGACTCTGACGATGACAATTTTGAATATGCCAATTTATCAGATTTATGCAAGAAAAAAAATAGGTGATTTTTTGACCGAAAATTAGAAATTAATGTGTGCTTTAAGGGGTTAAGCTGAGGGCTGTAGTCTGCAATTACAAAAATAAAATAGATTCATAATTTTAAGTTATTTTGTAATACTGACATTAGTCTTCCTAATTAATTAATTAGCGAAGTCTTCCTAATTTTTGAACTGTTAACTACCATATATTTTTCTTCCATGTGACTTGGCAGTTGCTGTAATTGAGCAAAACATTAAATCTTTTAACTTCCATGCAATGTCATAGGTATACAATTTTAAGTGTTGCATTTGACAGAACAAAAATTAGAAACCATAAAAATAGAACATCAGATCTTTAATGTGTCTTTTAAATTTAATTAATCTTCTGTTGCATTATTGAATGATTAAAACTCAATCAATGTACTTCATAATAGTTTAAATCTTTTAATAAATAATTCATTCAGTTTTATGTTGTAACATTGCAATATTAAAAAAAAAAGTTCCTAACTTTCATGTATTATGTATCTAAGATTTAATTCATTTGGTTTTTGTTAACCGTTTTTGTGTATTCTTTAATTACTAGGGAATTGAATTTTTTTATGGTTTTTTTTCATGTAAAATTAATTATATGAAATATAGACACAACTTTTCATAAATATGTGAAAATTTGTGTGCTATTTCTTCGAAATTGGTTTTATAATATAATTGGTTTGCATGGGCTACTAAAAAGTGTTGCAATAAAAAAAAACCCTACTCTTGATAAATTTGATTACAAAAGAGGGTAGAAATATTTAAAAAAAAGTTTTCATATAATATGATTTTTTATTGTTTTGAAGTACATATGATAGTTTTAATGTAGATGCTGTAGTGTAATACCTGGTTGTTTTATGTAATTTAATTTAAGCATATTTCTTCCATTTTGCTCATTCTTTTTGTTTGTAGTTGGATTTATTGACTGTTAATTATTTTGAAATTTCCATTAGCTAATGTTTTATTTAATGTGGTAATGAAGGATTCAAGGTTATGTTTTTGCAGTCTTTACTGCTATTTTATTCTGTATTTTCAAAATTGGGTGTTTTTTTTTTTTTTGGGGGGTTTGTTTTAAGTAGTAATTTGTTATATCTTGCTTGTTTATATTTCTTTCAAATGTATGAAATTGGTCATTTTCTTGGATGATAAAATGTCACAATTGATCAGAAAACATTTTTTCTATAATTCGTTGTCAATATGTTTTGATATTTTCTTGTATCCTCTGGTTTCTGATGCGTCCAAATTAAATTTTGTATTTTTTGTTTTAATATGGCAATACATAATTTTATGGCTGTATAAATTTCTTATTGGCCTTGTATTATACTACAGATGATCTATAACATTTGGTGGCATTGATTAGGCATCTCAAAATTAAAGCTCCGTTCTGCTAGCCCCTAATGCTTGGCGTTCCAGAGCATTCTGGGAGCCAATGTAAACATTGAGGTAAGCTGTGGTAAGTAGGCTAGCAGTTATGAAGTGGATTCCTGAAGTGTTAAATAATTTTTTTTTCCTTTTTAGGCACTTGAGTTAAATATGTATCAAATATGCAATTTTTTTGTTGTATTTTTTTGCAGAATACCTTGCTGATATAGTTTCATTATGTCATCTGGTGCTGTCCTATGAATATGAAGTTTTATCCATTTGTCATGTTGTGCTCAGAGTGATTATGCTTTTGGAAAGTAAACTGGGATGCTATAATAGTTATGACATCTGACTGTAGTGTGAAATTCATGTTCTGTAATTTTATTCGTTTTAATGTTCTTTTCATCTACCAGGATATTAAGAAAATGACATCGTAATTAACCAGACATTCCCCAGAATACTTTGCATTTTTGTTTTACTTTGTTTGATTTTAGATTATTAGCTGCAAGTCTCAAGCTCTAAATAGGCTTCTGCAGATCCCTGGTTCAATAATGGTATAATTTGAAATGATTCTAGTTTAATTTTTAATTATGTATTTGAAATGCATAATGTACATAAGTTTCAGTTTTTGTTTAACTTCATAATTTTTAAAGATAGTGTATGATGTGTAGTTCATAATTGTAAAATAAAATTCATTCCATATTTGTGTGATATTTTTTGATGCTGTGTAGTTGAAATATGTGAAAACACATGACTTTCGCTAAAAGACATTTTCCATGACAGTAAGCTATAATTTTAATGCACTTACAAAATAATTTTTGTAGCGAAATATACTCAATTTCACTAACAAAGTATGTGTTTTGTTTTACAGTAAAAAAGCGTGGTTTATATATGTTCATATACTAATTTAAACTTGCTATATGCATTCAATGAAACATTAAATTCGGTCAGTGGATGTATAAGCAAGTGAACTTTTAGTTCTTCATAATATTTTTGCTTATATAGCCATAGAAGTTTTTAAAGGTTAATTAACAAATAAACTTCTCAGCCTTTTGCTTAAATGTTTTTATGCACTTTTACATAAATTATTTATTATAAACTGGAAAGTAAATTTTGAAAATATATTTTTTGAAATTTTTTAACTGTCTGTAAACAAAGGTAAGTATTGGGATTTTATTTTAAGAAGTAAGCATTTTTGCCAAGTACTAATGAAATCTGCAATTACATGTCTTCTTTTTAGTTGTGCAGGTTATTTTTTAGCAAAATATGCTGTTTTGTGATGTATCTAGTTTTGGAAATCAGTATAGCATTTTTGTAATATATTATGAATTTGCTTTTTGCTTTTCGAAGTGTGCATGTTATTTGATATAAAAATATAATTAAGTTTTTATCTTAGTTTTAGAATCCCTGCATTCAAGAAGTTTTTAATTCATTTAGTCTTCCTTCTCAAATATTTCCTTCATTTTATATTATTTCTTACAAAATTCCATAACTGCATTTATTTTCTGTTGTCTGTTTTACTTAATACTTAAGTATTTCATATGGTATTTAATTATGATGGGTGAATGCATTTATATTAATAATTAAAAGTTGTATGTTTCTTTTCTATATACTTAATGAGCTAGTATATGAAAAATGTTTTGTTTTACTTAAATTGGTTTCAGATGTTACTTTTTCCCTTCAATATCCTCCTCTTTTATTAAAATTTGCCAATGTTAAAGTTTTCCCTTTTGAAAAATGGTATCTTGGGGGATATTTAAGAGATTGTGTATGTACATCGTAATTGAATTTCTTTCAGCTTCTAACATTTCTTTCAGGATTCATTTCAAATTCAGCTCACAAAATTGCTGAAGTATAGTTGCATATTTATATGTAGACACCAGTCTTTTGTTTAAATTATTTACTATAATTTATTTGTGTTTGAACATTAGTATCCCCACTTTCATATTACAATTATTAATTTGTACAAGAGAGCTATATAATTTTTTTTTATATTTTAGTATACAATTTTGAATTTTGAGTGTTTGTTGTCATCTAATGTAATTAAATTGCCGAAAATATATTTTTTTTGGGGGGGGTTATTTTTGTAAGCATTAGTGAGAAATAATTAAGCAATTACTGATTGGATAATTTTGATTGAATTCCGTAATATTGTATTGAGACAAACACATACACGTTAGTGACTTTAAGTATGCTGTAGAAAGAAATTTAAATATGCTAATAAAAAGGATAGAAATTTTTACTTTTTTTACTTATGTAAAAATGAGAGAAATTTTATTTGGTTTATTAATTAAATTTTATGCATTTTTTACTAAGTTGGCATTCTTCGAGTGGTTTGCAGAGGATTAATCATTTTTGTAGAACAGGCTACAGGTGTGACAGTTCTGAAGTCCAAACCTTAGAATGCAAAACGGATCAGGTTCATTATAATTATTCTACCATAATTTTATACTTCTTAAGATTGCCAAATGTGTATGTGATAGGAAAATTCATTTAATAATGCAGTTTTTAAAATCTTATTTCTGATCTGATGTATATAATGCTTGTAAACTTTAGACGTATTAAATAAAAAAAATACTAAAATTCTTATGGTTGTGTTAATTTACACAAGTTTAAAAATTAGAATGACTGCTTTTTGTTTGTTAAATGCATTTTAATGTGAAAGTTTGCATTAAGAGCATATCTGTCAGAATAGAAATATGTGTGCAACTATATTTCATACAAATTTTACAATTTTAACATTTGAGAAGCATATATATTATTGTTAGGCAGTGGTCTCATATGCAAATTGCAAGCAGGCCAAATGCACAATCTGAAAGGAACTGATGTGCCAGATCATTCTTTTTTCACAAAATTTAAAAATATTTTTAACAGGGTATAAAAGAAGGTAAACCAAATTATAAATTTCAGTTACTGATTATGTATCAAAATGTACATTAACAATAATATTAATATGAGAAAGGGAAAAAAATTAAATTAATTTTTGACCTGAAATCCAGAGATTGGTACCTGTAAAAATTTTCTGTTTATTGTATTTTATAATGTATTGACAGCTAAATTTAAACTTTAAACTGACATTTATTCCAGGTAATTCTAATATCTTGAATTAAACACTAAATAGGTTAACGATAATCTTGCTGGAAATTTCAGAATGTTGAAATGCCTCCAACTGTATGGTGGCAAATTAAATTTACTGACTGCCATATGTGGGAAATTCTTCCACTGTATCCTAGTCACATTTCCTTGTATGAAGGCATAGAATGACAAAGATAAAGCTTCAACCTATTCATTCTGTTCTTTTCTCCTTCAGTAGCAGTCATGTGCATAAGCTCAGTCCATATCTTTGTCTCTGAAATTATAAGCACTGTATTTGCAACAAATACACAGTTGAAATACATTTGTGGTCCACATTGCTTTGAGGGTGGCAAGTTTAAAACCATTGTTGTTAGGTATCTGCAAAAATGCTGCTTTCCTGAGGTCTAATTTATACATGTATTGGGTTGGAGGGAAAGTTCTGTCGTATTTTAAAGAAAATATTTGAATTCATTTATAAAAATATGTGTTTAATATTAATCAATTATATATGCTTCGTTATTTGTTACAACCTGTTGCCATCTTTCAGGTAACATGTAAATTCCTGTTTAGTAGAAGTTGTCGGCCTCCATGGAGTTAAAATAGTCAGCAACTGTCTTAGAAAAACTTTTAAAAGACTTGAAGTTTTTTCCTGTTAGATAATCTTGCAGACATCTGAACAGGTAATAATCAGCTGGTGCACAATATCAGGTGAATATGGTGGGTGACTAAGGACTTCCCATCCTAACGCATTCAGTTTTTGAGTGTCGCTATGCGGGCGAGCATGCTGGCCTTTCCTTTTCTGGACTTTGGCCTTTTTCTTGATAGCTGCATTCAATTTATCCAGCTGATTGCAGTACAGATCTGCGTTAATGGTTTTTCCCTGTTTCAGCAACTCGTAGTACACAGGACCTTTCCTGTCCCACCACAAACAAAGCAGTACTTTCGTTGATGGATACTTGGTTTTGGAACTGCTGCTGATGATGAGTGTTTCGGTTTGCAGTAGAGATTTTTTTTCTTTTAATATTCTCGTAAAGAATCCACTTTCATCTCCAGTACCCAGCCTGTCCAAAAAAACGGCTCCACATTGTGTCTAATCAGATGTGATGAACTATTCTTACACGATCAGACAATTCTTTTCCGTTAATTCATGTGGAACCCAAACACTTTGCTTTAATACAAACCCAAGAGATTTAATGTGATCTACAACAGTTGTATGATGAATGCCAAACTCGTTCTGCAATTTCTCTGACTTGTTAAATGTGGATTATTTTCCAACATGGATGGATCGCAAAACATCATTATCGATTTTGTATGGTTCGTCCAGATCGAACACTTTCTTGAGGCTCAGGTCCCCGGAACGAAATTTGCTAAACCATCTTTGACAAGTACGAACATTTACAATATCTTTTCCAAATACCGCACTAAATTTTTACATGCAACAGATGCGTTGCTTCCTTTTTGGAATTCATATAAAATGCAGTGTCGTAAATGCACTTTATCTAACCGACATGTTTTTCCCTTTAAATTTACAAGTAAATGATGAACGGTAAAAAAGGGCCACTTTTATATTATACAGCAGCTAAAAAAACAGAAAAAAATCCGATTGACTCACTAGCCAGATGTTTTTCCCATACAATGAAAAGTATATATCAACTGTCCTATAGCCAGAATAAGGTTATGACGTGAGTTATTTAACCATCCATATCCATCTGTTAAGCAATCTAACAATAAATTGTTTTGTTATTTAGTTGTAATTCAAATTTGATTAAAAATTTAGGAATTGTTTCTATAGTGTGTGTACCATACAATAGCCCATATTTAGTAATCTTGTTAATTTACGCTGTCAATAGTTGATTACTTATCTTTGTGCATTAAATAAATATAATAACCATACTTCAAAATTTATAACATCAAAAAAAATTTCAGTTATGAGATAAGTACAAACCTTTTTAAAATCAGAGCACATGTATTAAGAAATGCTGTTTTGCATGCTGAGTGGGAAATATAAAAGTGTTTGTAAACATCTAGTTCATATTCTTGCACAAGTAACATATACACTGTTGGCCATCCAAAATGCAACATTAAGAAAGATGAGATATTGTATGAACATCGAATCTAATCACACACATAAACAAAATTCATGAGATTAACAAATGTAGTGGACTGTGTTATGTATAATGTTATTTCTGTTAATAGAAATTACACACACAAATAAGAACCTATACATAGTTTACTCGATGCAACTTAAAAAATTCCAAGTATGATTTCATCAGAATAGCACTTCGAGAAATTGAAAGAAATGGCTGCTAGCTTGCTACTTTTTTTTTAACTAGAATTTCCAGCGTCCTCATCTAATAATGTTTGAGTTTTCTTTAACTCAAACATTTTCTTTAACTCAACCATTATCTTGTCATCTCTTCTTTTTGCCTGTTAACATATATCAAAAGCTAATTTATTTTCAAGACTACACATAGTATCAATGTTAATTAATTTTAAAATACAGTCTTCTTTGAGGTGAAGAAGAGGAGAAAATTAGTAACGATTGTTGCTTCTACTTTTGTCAGTAACCACTGTTACATGCCACGGCACTGAACAAAAGAGGTTTTGGATGTGTTGTTGGGGAATAGCAGCCTTCATACATGGCCAAAGTTCATATGATGTACTTGCAGTATAGTGAGATAAAAAGAAAGTTTGAACATTCCTTGCAGCATGTGGTTGTGAATTGTCCTTTAGAAATGTGGTTGCTGGCAAACCCTAAAAGTAGGAAAAGAGGACAGACTGCAAAACCAGATATATAGTGTTGGCTGGTAAGTGTACCAATAATGTGTACTTGTAGGTGCAGGAGTGGAATTCATACCATAAACACTGGGTGTAGGACCAGTATGAAGATGCATAACACAATAGTCAAATAGCACCATTCCATTTTTCTCTCCAAATTATAATCTGAGCGTCGTGGTATTGTAGGAAGAAGCATGATTCATCCTGAAAAGCAATGTCATGACTTTCTGATGTGCATCTTCACCGATTAGTGCATCATTGCAAAAGCAAATGCTTATGGTTTAAAGATAAGCATAGCAGTGAATGCCTAGCTGACAGTCCATCGTACTGTAAACAATGTCAGATTTTTCATGCAGACATTGATTATTGTGTGGCAGTGTGCTGTGAAGTGGTCACAATTGCCCATTTGTTCCCATTGCTCCTGTCCAGTTGGTCCCTCCTGCATCCACAGATTTAATATTTACATGACTGTTGCTTGGCTTTATCCGACACAGTGACCAAAATCTCGGAAGGATAACCCCAATCTCTATACGCAGCCTTGAATGATGCTATGTTTTTCTACGAAGCATACTGAATCTGCATAAATGAAAAAATCTAATGGGAAAACAATTCACATTATTAAAAATGGCAGTCTTTCCTCTCTTTAGATACAGATTGTAAGGATACTCATAATGTGCAAGTGCATTGAAATCGTGATCATTTGTGTATTCCATCATGGTATACTCATTATGCAAGTTAAATGCTGTTTGGATGCTTCCTTTATGGTGTTGCATTTTGCATGGCCAGCAGTAGTTTTAGGGGTCTACACATTTGTCTGAATGTCCTCAATCATATTAATTGCTCATAAAAATATGCATATTAAGTTCCATATCTGTTGATATGTTCTGAGTGATGGCCAGCCATGTAGTACAAAATTGCAGGTACAGAATGAAATTGTTGTGTTTTGCAGTGAAAAATAATATACTTGTTCTAAGAATGGCCTTTTGGAGAATACTGCTTGTATATGTAGCGTATACTTTTACACAAGGCAGCATGACCGGGGCAAGAAGGAAGACTTTTAAATTAGCCATATATATATTAAGTTGTTTAAATAGTACATGAATACATGAGAAGAACATATCTTATATTTTAAAAATCTGTTGTGTGAAACATTTATGATGTAGCCTTAACTTGCAAGATTATTTCCCAGGGATCAATATGCAAGCTCTTAACTCTACTGATTTTATAAGGATACTGCTAATTTATAATTTTTAGACTGGAAAAATTACCAAGGATGATTTTTTTTTTAGAATAATTCTGCAAATCCCATTTTCCCCTCACTTATACTATAATTTTTCTTATTAAATATTATTTAATCAAAATTCTTCGAACCCACTATAGATGTTTGTAGAACTTATTGGGAACTATTTATTGTTTGCATAATTCAACTATTTTAATTAAATAAGTAGTTTGAGAAAAACCATTTTTTTGTTTTATAGGGAAAAAATTATATTTTGCTAATTTTATTTACATAAAAGTTAGTATATTAATTATTATTTTTTTTTCATTGTATTTGAAAGCACTATAATAAATATAAGCTTTTATTTCCTACTAAGCATTTTCTCAATGTGAATATGTAAGGAAATGGAAGAATTAAATTAGGCAAAGAACACAGAAACTTAGAATATCTCATTGAATAATGAAATATTTGTCATCAGAATCATGTTAGTATTTCAGTAACCTGAATCGTGCGTT